CTTTAAAGCACTCGTATCTTAAACATCGCACTGATGAGGATACAAGGTTGAAAGCCCGGGCCATCACCTTGCACTTTGAACGCAATATCAATGCGAATCAAAAACGCATACAAAGCAGTCCATTGAGAGCGTGAATGACCCGTTCACGCACATCCCCAGAGTAAACAAAGATACGGCAGTAATTAAGCAACTTAATTAAGTAAAGATGGGAAAGCATGGCGCAGCACTTGGCTTTCGTGATTTGTTCTGGACTGTGGAGCATATTACCGGGTTTTCCTACAATATTTTCTTCAGGAAACTCTGGCACAATAGTGTCTATGGGAGCTGCGACGCATGGCACTTCAGGCATCGCGCGAATTATGGGTTCGTCTGACCCGTCTAAGCCTCGTTTTTTCGGCTTTGTTCGTCTCCGCGTGGCCCAGGGCCGCGTCGTCGCTAGACCAAGTTCAGCAAACGTTCAGCAGTTCTGTATACACTTCACTATACCTTGACCATTTAGGTTATAACCGATTCAAACCGGGTCACGAAGTTTACAGCGATACGTTCCGCTGTCCGAAACAAACACAAACACAAAAAAAAATAAACGAAGCCGCAAGTAGGCCCGAAGACGCGCTAGCACGGAGATTACGCAAATCCGTGCGTCATACACCCACCATTGCCATTGGTCGGTGAACAATGACAGCGCCCTCTGGTAAATACTGTAAGAAAATCTATAGGGAACATACCAGGTCTCGCTGGTATGTTGTTTCGTGCGGTGGAAACTCGATCACGTTCGAATAGCGCAATAATTAAGCGGTTGCGGCAGTGCGCTTCGATTACCGAGACTAATTCCGGCGTTAGCGAATGAAGCCCAGACGAGCTTTCAGCCGAAGCTCTCGGCCAACGCGCACTGTATGCTGTTAGAGAGTGGATCTTAATGTTTGCGTAGTGTGCATGCGGGTATAGACGCTTACGGAAGAATGCAGGTTTTATGGAATGCGCATATACGGGTACGCGCATACCTAAGCTTGGAGCGCCGTATGCCGCCTGTACGCCAAATAGGAGAAACTTTATCTGCTGAGAGTACCTATATAAGTCGAATTAGAAACGATGAAGTCGTTTATACGAGTACGCCTGCATACTCCACAGGTATAATTAGGGTTGTCAGGTTTGTAGTTCTTTTTCTAATATAGTGCTAGAGAGAGCCAGAACTTTTTGGAAGAAATATAATTTATCGGCAACTGGTCAGCCTAACTTATGTGAAACGCTCATCCTTTGTGAAGGGCTTATGAACAAATCTGTTCATAAGCGCTCTGACAAAGACCGGTTCACTGGTCGAAACCGTTATATATATATATATATATATTATATATATATATATATATATATATATATATATATATATATATATGTGTGTGTGTGTGTGTGTGTGTGTGTGTGTGGGTGTGTGTGAAGGCATAGTGGTGAAGTGGCCGTAGCGTTGCAAGTATAGTGAAGTATATCCTCCTTGAAAAGTCACAACGTGGTTTGTTTCTTTGTGTTTCTTTGCACCACGTTTCAGCCAGACTCTGGCTGTGTGTGTGTGTGTATATATATATATATATTATATATATATATATATATATATATATATATATATATATATATATATATATATATATATATATATATATATATATATATATATATATATATATAAACGCCTCCCTCATCCCCCCACCGCCCCGCTCTTGCCATCTTGACTGTCCCAGCCCTCGAGCGGGACTACATATCGTGACTGCGACTCGCTAGTTGAGTTGAGATCGATTGAAACCCCCTTGTAAATACAGTAATCACCTATGCACACAAATGATTCACGCATCGATGTACTGTTGTCGAGCTCTGCCCCTGTTATTCAAGTAGGAGCAACAATCTTCCGCGGATCGCAAACAAAGTGCCCGCTGTGCGCACCGCGCGATCTGCTATGCGCATGCCTTTCTATATATTTCCCGCGTGGAGCCCCGTATAGGGGCGTTATATAGTTCACCAAACTTGAGTGAACCAAAACGCCGCCTTGCTGCCCGCATCCTGCGAGTCTCGTCCGTTAAGCCAGTATACGATTCCAGCTCGCTTCAGTTGCCTGCCGCCAGGCGGCGAGAGCAAGTGATCGCGCGAAAGTACCGGGTGTGGCGCCTCCGTGCGTTGTGTACGCAATTCGATTCGGTTTCGTTTTTCATTTCACTACACAGATGGAGGGGAGGAGGTATAAGCTGCTTAAATTGATTTGGGTGCACGTTAAAGAACCCCAGGCGGTCAAAATTTCCGGAGCCCTCTACTACGGCGTCTCTCGTAATCAAATAGTGGTTTTGGGACGTTAAACCCCACATATCAATCAATCAGCTGCTTAAAGGAACACTGCAGAGGAACAAAGCCTTTCTTTTGATTAACGAACTTGCACTCTGATAACTCTAATGCCATTAGTTTCACTACCGTAAGTTTGTTATCAGCGGAGAAAATGAAGGTGACGTCGAGCGCCCCGCCGACCACGTGATTTCGACAAAAAGTGTTCGTGGGCATCAAGTACACCACAAAATGAGGTCAACTGAAGACTGCTTTATTAGACAGAAGGTTCAATTCATCCAAACATCGGCGTAATATCCTCTTTCCTAGTCCCTAGTCGACACTAATAAAAAAAAAATCACATCATATTCACGGAGTGAATAATGATGAGTGGGGCGAAGCGCCCGTCCGTCCGTCCGTCTCTCTCTCTCTCTCTCTTTTTGTGTCTGTCTGTCTGTTTGTCTGTCTGTCTGTCTGTCTGTCTGTCTGTCTGTCTGTCTGTCTGTCTGTCTGTGTGTCTGGTCTGTCTTTTTGTGTCTGTCTGTCTGTCTTTTTGTGTCTGTCTGTCTGTCTTTTTGTGTCTGTCTGTCTGTCTGTCTGTCTGTCTGTCTGTCTGTCTGTCCGTCCGTCCGTCCGTCCGTGCATGCGTTCAGTCCGCTTTTTCCACGGTGCCGTGCTGCGTCCGTCCTTTCCCGTAGCGAAAAAAATGGCGGCAATATCACGAGACGACTGCTGGCCTCGGAGGCCTTCGTTCTACCAATTCCAGTTCTCCCGGCCCCTACCAAGCTTTACCAAATCGCCCGAGGGCAGCACAAGAAAACGGGAAAGGCGGGTTCTCCTGGTACGGTTATAGCTGCTTAATATGAAGAGTGAAGCTCTTTGGGCCTTCACAATGTCCGACCGTTGTTGCCCAGGCTCGCCGTCGTCAATAGTCGAAACGCAACTGCGAAACATCTGTGCGCAATACTGTCTACAGAGCGTACATATCGCGCATATGGTTTCAAAGTAAGATTCTCTATGTCGTTCATCGTTTCGTCAATGGATCTTCGCTCCATCATCAGCATTCACGTTGCGGATCTTCAGCCATTTTTTGCCCTTCAGTATCGTAGCTTTAGTTTCACGATTGTTTTTTTTTCAGCGATGCGTCAGCAACCCATTCAAGTTATTAAATCGATTGGGTTTCGGGGTATAGTTTTGCTCCGCGATTCTCTCGAAACACCTTCTGGCGCGCGTACAAACGTACGAAACACCTTTGCTACGTATTGCAGCTTAGTGATCCTGTAGGTCTGCCTGCGTTCGCCATAGCTTGCGGCGAAAAGTTGTGTGCAGCGGAGCTCGCTCGCCACTCCCGGGGATAAAGCTACCTCGTGCGGGAGCGGCGATCTCGCATGCCGAATCAGCCTGCCCCGTATAGGGTTCGCTTGTCCCGTTTTAAACCTCGCCGTATAGCGTTTCGTCTCCGTTGTGGTTTCGGGGGCTCGCGTTCGGAAGATTGTTCGAGGCGGAGCGGAGTACGGTCTTCCTCGGTTGAACCATTAGGCAGATTGGCTTGGCTTGTCTCGTTGGTGACTTCCTGCCTACAGTTTGATGCTGCAGGAAGGGTACGGAAGGGAGAAGGCGACGGTAGCCGACTGGGTGCTCCCTTACGAGTAAATGGAAAACTATTCGGTTTTGGAGGAGCGGCGCTCTTTTCGGGTAAACTTCGAAAAAGTTTACCCTGAATGACTGGGAGACCACTAACTGAAGAAGTGACAGCTGTGAACGTTTCCGCGTTTCTCAGCTACACGACGCAGGTTCGATTCCAGTCCCAGTGGCCGTATTTAGATGGGGGTGATCGAATAAATGTAAGAATACATGAGTACTTAGTTCTCATCACCATGAATGATCATCAGCAACCCATTATTAACTTTACTGCCGGACGAAGGCTTCATTCAATGATGTCAAACCCACTCTCACCTGCTCTAGCTGATTCCATTTTACGCCTCCGAATAATTTGATTCGGTCGCTCCGGCTAACCCTTTGACGTCCTCTGGCGCGCTTCCAATCCCTCGGTATCCACTGTGAAGCTCTAAGTGACCACAGGTCATCTCTATACTTCTCGTGGCGTGGCCTTCCCGGGTCCATAGTTTGTCTCCTAATATATAACAAAATATATGTCTGTTTCGACCATGACAGAGGTGGCGCTGCCCATAGCAAAGTTAATCTCTTTCTGTTCGCCCGCCGTTTCGCGTGACCAGGAAAACTAAGCTGCTACTGAAGCGAACACCTAGATAATAATCTATTGGTTGGTCGCAAACTCCGCTATTAGTCTGCTTGCACCAATAATGATAGCTACAGTGTTTACATTGCATTTATCTAGCGAAGAAAGATTATTCTTACTAGTCTTGTTAATGTCCATGACGACTGAGCGCGTGCAGATTACAATCGAAATAGGCTGGTCACGCACTCGGCTGTTAGTACAGCCATGCACCAATAGCGCATCCTACATTTTTGCGTAACATTTCTACATTATCTGTTTTTTTTTTGCCTTTTCTTGATACCTGTATTTGCGCATGTACCGCGGATTTCCACCCCTGAGCAATGTATGGGTAGGGGGGCCTTTGTCAGGCAGTTGCATCTGCCTTTAGCCCCTTCATTCCAGACCATGACTGTCTGAATAAACTTCTTATCTATCTATCTATCTTATCTTACATTGCACGCAGGCTCGAATCCAGCCCTCCGCGCGTGACGAGCCGGGCGGAGCTGGCACAGTGGCTCTGCGAACAGCACAATGTTGTCAACCAGAAGCTGGGCAAACCCGAGTTCGACTGTTCCCGAGTCGACGAGAGGTGGCGCCGCGGTTGGGACGACGGATCGTGCTCCTGATTGGTGGACGCTGACGACGACGAACTCCAGACCCACAGTCCTTCCATTCCGAACAGTTGTGACGTGTCGACGAAAGTTGTGACGTGTATATACACTGTTTTCGAGTGTGTGTAGACGACGGAGGACCTGATGCCGCTGCCTAATGCAGTGACATCATTTCCGTCGAACCGAGTGACCTGCTATAGCGCTAGTAATTATGCGGGTATCGTTGAATATAAACACGGATAAAATTTATCCCCGCCTTTGATTGTCAATATGGTGTTGTACCATGCACAAGAACATCGTGAGTCGTTGTACCATACTCTAGGGCAAACCCCAAAAAGTTTTTAAGGTGAAAGCCCCTTATATGACTCATCCAACGTAAGAATGGCTGTAGCGTCAGCAGCATCAGCTCGAGTGATCCAAAACGAAAACGATGCCACGAGAAACGCAACCGCTTGTCACCATGTCATATATCTCTAAAAACTTCTAACGTAATAACGTTACTGTTATGTCACATAGCATTCCATCACATGATGTATCACATGACGTCACCAGGTTAAACGGAGGCTGATCACGGAGGCTGGTACCAAAACAAGTAAAGGAAATCTGGCGCTAGCGGACGATGGAGCTGCGACGCATGACGCTACAGCTGGCTTACGAATGAGCTGGGTAATACGTCATCATCATCAGCCTGACTACGTCCACTGCAGGACAAAAGCCTCTCCCATGTTCCGCAAGTTAACCCGGTCCTGTGCTTGCTGCTGCCAATTTATACCCGCAAACTTCTTAATCTCATCTGCCCACCTAACCTTCTGTCTCCCCCTAACCCGCGTGCCTTCTCTGGGAATCCAGTTAGTTACACTTAATGACCAGCGGTTATCCTGTCTACGTGCTACATGCTCGGCCCATGTCCATTTCTCTTCTTGATTTCAGCTATGATATCCTTAACCCCCGCTTGTTCCCTAATCCACTCTGCTCTCTTCTTGTCTCTTAAGGTTACACCTACCATTTTTCTTTCCATTGCTCGCTGCGTCGTCCTCAATTTAAGCTGAACCCTCTCTGTAAGTCTCCAGGTTTCTGCTCCGTAGCTAAGTACCGGCAAGATACAGCTGTTATATACCTTCCTCTTCAGGGATAGTGACAATCTACCTGTCATAATTTGAGAGTGCTTGCCAAATGTGCTCCACCCCATTCTTATTCTTCTAGTTACTTCAGTCTCGTGCTTAGGCTCCGCGGTTATTACGTGCCCTAAGTAGACATAGTCTTTTACATCTTGAAGTGCACTATTACCTATCTCGAAGCGCTGCTCTTTTCCGAGGTTGTTGTACATTACTTTCGTTTTCTACAGATTAATTTTAGTACCCACCTTTCTGCTTTCTTTGTCTAACTCCGTAATCATGAGTTGCAATTCGTCCCCTGGGTTACTCAGCAACGCAATGTCATCGGCGAAGCGCAGGTTACTAAGGTACTCTCCATTAACTCTTATCCCTAACTGTTCCCATTCTAGGCTTCTGAAAACCTCCTGTAAGCATGCGGTAAATAGCATTGGGGAGATTGTGTCCCTCTGCCTTACACCCTTCTTGATTGGTATTCTGTTGCTTTCTGTATGAAGCACTATGGTAGCAGTTGATCCCCTGTAGATTTCTTCCAGGATGTTTATGTATGCTTCATCGACACCCTGATTCCGCAGTGGCTGCATGACGGCTGATATTTCTACTGAATCAAACGCCTTCTCGTAATCTATGAAGCCTATGTATAGTGGTTGGTTATATTCTGAGCATTTCTGTATTACCTGATTGATAGTATGAATGTGGTCGATTGTTGAGTAGCCTGTTCGAAATCCTGCTTGTTCCTTTGGTTGATTGAATTGTAATGTTTTCTTTACTCTGTTAGCAATTACCTTTGTAAATAGCTTGTATACTAAGGAGAGCAAGCTGATCGGCATGTAATTCTTCAAGTCCTTGTCATCTCCTTTCTTATGTATTAAGATCATGTTAGCGTTCTTCCAAGACTCTGGTACTCTTCCCGTCAGGAGACACCTCGTAAACAGGGTGGCTAGTTTTTCTAACACAATCTGTCCTCCATCTTTCGGCAGGTCTGATGTTACCTAATCCTCACCAGCAGCTTTGGCTCTTTGCATGCTCTCCAAAGTTTTTCTGACTTCTTTTATCATTACTGGTGGGGTGTCATATATGGTGGTGGGATGGGTAATACATAGATTGGCTTAAAGGGGCCGTGAAACACTCTTTCAAGTAATCATAAAATAAATTCACTGGAAGAGCTTATTGCTTCACGAATTCAACGCCGCAAAATTTCAAGAACCCGTCCAGTACGAGCGGCGTTACAAAGATTTGTCACACGCTGCAATCGTAGTGGTGCCCCGTCCTTAGACTCCTGCGACCGTGTCTATCTTTCCTATTTTCTCCTTACTTCCGCATGTGGCTGTCCCTGTGCCTCGCTCTCTCCTTCCGCTCTCTCTATCCCTATACCTTTTAATCCTATCCTTTTCATCTCTCCTTACCCCCATCTCTGGTGAGCTACTTTTAAGGTGCACGCCCCCCCCCCCCCTCCCCTGAGAGACAAGAATCACCTCCCCCCATTCTCTCTTCTTTCGTCTCGACGAAAGCGCTGGAAGCTAAGCAGGGAGGGATGGCAGGGCCACAAAGAAACGTCACGCGAGCCCCGTGAACTTGAGCATTTTTTTCCCTTGTATTTTTTTAGAATGCGCGGCTTCGTCAGTGTGATCGCGCGCGCGCGTGTGGACAAGTCGCGGCCTCCCGTGGCGATCTCTGCAACGAGTAAGCGCGCCATGTTCAAATCAGCCCATGGCTGATAGATGGGCTTGCTACGTGTGATTTTTGGGTATATTGCGTGGTTTGTCGAGAGAAGAGACAGCAATTTTTAGCTGACTTTGATAATTTATTGTGAATTCCAGGCCGCGTCCTGCGCTATGACATTTGGCTCGCGTTTTAGTCGGGAGCCTCTACTACCGATTGGCAGCGTTTTCGGACCATGCTCAGAAGGTGTTGCAAAGCCCCTTTAAGCGTCCTCATTTCGACACAGTGTAGCTCTGCGTGACCAGCAGCCGCCTTTTCGCTAGATGAAGTTTAGCGAAAGCGGGCCTGTCCCACGTGACCACATGGACCCCTTTCCATTTCAAATCAGCTAGAGAAAGCCACATGTGCGTTCGAATCCGTAAGCGCGAAGGCTAGGGGCTGTCGAAATTCGTATGGAGGGGGGGGGGGGTGTTTCACCGAAAAAAAAATATTAAAAATATGTATTTTCGAGGCTTTCAAAAAGTGTCCCCCCCACCCCCACCCCGAAAAAAATTACTGCCTATGGGCTTGCTCCAAATTGCACTGCAAGTGGCGCGCCCTGAATCTACGTCATGGCGACAGCTGCCAGGTGGACGTGTTTTGGAGTCGCTCACTGTTCGAAGGCTGTTAACCGAAAACGAAAATAATAACATCATACCAGACCTGCATGCAGGTGATACTTTGTTACGTGGGTCTTATAAAAGCAGCCCTGCAGTAAGGGGTAAGGTAAAGGGAAACTATCGACAATTGTTTATACCGCTGACCCCCGTTCCGCTGGTCTGCTTTTGAAGGAATTACTCGTGCACGGTTCAGGCGGAATTCTGAGCCAGCTTGATAAGAACAATGGACAACTACTTCAAAAATATATTTGCGAAAGAATGTACGAGTCGTTCATTTGGTACAGGCACATATTGTAGAGCAGCGCGAAAGCACATGCCAAAGAAGACCACCGGAAAAGGCGCCACCACCTGTGGCTTTCTTTGTCATGTGCGGCAGCTTTTTTTTTTCTTTTTTTTGCGCTGCTTTAAAATATGATAAAAGATGTTGAACGGAATGGATGAAGGAATGTATTTTCCGCGTCAGAACGTTATGGCGTTGGTGGCACGCAAATCCCACATTATAAAAAAAAGAACATTGTTGCATTTACATTTTGCTCAGTCCTTTTGTAACCTTTTGCACTAAAGGTGGGCAAAAAAATTTTCCTCTAAGGGCTCGCTTGGAGTGCTACGCAGGCAACTGCAGAAACAGGCGTGCGTACCGGGGGGGGGGGGGGAGGCGTAAAGTGTACCCCATACATTTACCTAATAGGGAAGGGGAAAGTTGTTACAACCCCCCCCCCCCCCCCCCCCACTGCAAGGGAACCTGCGCACGCCTGTGTGCAGAGAGGTCTCGCATAGAGGGAGGGTTTGAAGAGTAGCGTTTCGGGCTAGTTGGTATGTCATAGTTTATAGCGCACGAAAGAGAGACGGACAGAGAAAGGCGTGACAAGCACGCGCAGGCGCAAACGTTTTCAAGAATGTTTATTCCGGAAACGGGTAACCCCGTGTAGTCGTGATGGTTGTACAGCGATGCTGCTTATGTGTGTGTGAGTTTCCCTTCCCGGAATAAACGTTGTTGCTAGTTAGCGCCGGTAGATGTCACGTCTTTCTCTGTACGTGTCTATTTCGTGCGCTATAAGCTTGTGTATGGAGGGATGGGGCACGTGATGGGTCGACTGAGAACAAAAAGACGGTGGCGCACGCCTTCGAGTTCTCCAATCGACGAATGCGGAGAGAACATATGTGAGTTTTGTTACCAAAAGGGACTAACAACAATTCTCTATGGTGCTTGTTTTAAGGGCGAAGCTCCTAAAGCCGTCGGTCTGCACATGCTTGTCTCTCAGTCGTGGTATGTGACCGCCTAGTTCTACGACTCACTCAGCAGGTGGCGCTAGTCTGGACGGACGGATGGACAGACGCACGGACAGGCGGACGTATGATTCACGGTTTACCGATAAAACCCTCCGAAGCTTCGCCTCACTGATCATCATTCAGTCTGTGGATATGCTGTAATTTTTTTTGCTTTCTTCTTTTTTATTTTTGTTTTTCTAGCGAAAACGACATCTTACTCGTTAGTGAGTCGGATCCTAAAGCGGGAAAACGCCGCGAAACATTAGCCGTCAGAATTTTTCTATCTGCAGCAAATATGAAGTCGCTCACAAATTGCAAACAGTGAGCGCGCGGGCGGTTCGTGTCCGAGCGCGGTGCTTTACTGCGCATGCGTGAACTCCTCGCGCATGCGCCATGGCTCGATTTGGTCCACTGGCGGCCGCGATGGCAGCGCCGCTTTGCACCGTGCTACTCCTATTCAGGAAAGGGGTTTTCGCGCTGTAACGTAATGATTGAACACCAAGTTGCCTAGTTTACTGTCCTCACAGAATTGTTTCTACTAGTCTT